GCCCCAGGCGTTCGGGGGGCGGGCTCGGGGGCGTCGGGGAGCCGGAGCTCCTCCGGTGGGAGCGGCTGGAGGGCGCCCGTTAGTTGTAATTGCCCTGCACGCCTGTTAGTAAACGCCTCTCCGTGGGCGTGTGTCGTTTGTTTGGGTTTCTTTTGTGGGTATGCTCTTTCCTTGCCCTGTGTAATTTTTATAGGGGACGAACGTGGTCGTAATATAATAGTTGGAGAACTATGTAACTAGTGAGAAATAGTAGATGGATTCAGTCTTAGGAATTCTTCACTGTTGTTGTTATGGCACTTGAAACACCATTAAATACGAACGAGAGAACTGGCTTCTTCCCCTTTGATACCCAGTCCCTACAACATGCAACCCATGTTGTCACGTTTCTCTGTCGACCATTTTTCAGTCTGTCGGCATTTCAGAAGCCATTGGAGTTTCTTCCTCCTTTCAGTTTCTTCTTCAGCAAAAGCAGCGAGTTACTGGAGCAGCTCATCATCTGAATGAGTTCGGCTGTACACTGCAGCCAGCCTTCCTGCTTACAACGTTTTCCTTTTCATACACACCTGGTCAGTCACCGTATCTCTGATCATACTTAGTCCCAGCCTGGTCTTGACTGAAGCCAAAGGAAATAAGTAAGACCATAGATGTTTAAAGTTTTACCTGTCTGAATGGATATTTTTATATTCTCATTAAAGTGCTCATGATGCAGTGCCATGCATCATGAACGCCCATTCTCAATTGCTTATTGCAGCCTCAGCAGCATATGGTTGGAGTTACTTCCAACTTATCTTTTTCAGACAGAGTTTCTCTTGGGGCTGCTTTCAAGGGGTAGAAGGAGAAGCATGGGAGTTGTATACAATGTCATTGTCGTGATCTGCATCAGCATAACTTCATGTAAACCAGAAACGCAAGGTCTAGCTGATTCCAACCTCTGTGGAAGGAGATGAGGCATAATTTTAAGTGGTCACAGAAGGAAAAAGTTGTTTCCTCTTATGAGTAATACTCGAGCATCCCTTGACATGTTGAGTCCAGAGGGATTTGTCAATATGATGGCGCATACCTATGAAAATGTAGGATGTGAGAGAGGAAGAGAGTTTTCAAGAGAATTCGCTACCTTCCCCTGGCAGCATCAGGTTCAGCTACTGAAAACAGCTAGCTACTGAAAGTTCGTGCTGTTTGCCTGAACGTATTCAGCTCTGTGTCATTTTAATCTTATTATAATTTCACTCCATGTCATCTGACCAACTCTACTCTGTTATCACTCATGAAAAGGGAGGAAATCAAGAGTCATGTGAAGGGGCGTGTGTGTGTGTCTCTGCTGTTATTCTTCATGATTGCTGCCTGTAGGAATGGATTACATTCTTGACGTGAGACTTTGCTTCAGTCTTATGACCAATAAGACTAACCCAGAGATGAATGAGCTTTTCAGTGAAATAATACTGTGGTTTTGTTTGATACTGGATTTTCAATATATTGCATTGCCAACTTTTGGATTGGTTGACTTGACTTGTATTAAGTAAAATAATTACTGGTTTATCCTTTTCTTCTGTTTGCAGATACAAATGACTCTTCTGTTAAACTGAACCATGAGTCTTGTATTACATGATCTGCTCATTTGTTGTCGACGCCTTGAAAATGAGAAGGCTGTGGAGCGAAGGGTAACAAGTGTTCTTTTGGTGTGTGTGCCTCAATTAGCAATGAAGGGAATCATTAATAATTCTTTTTCTTGAAATACATTTTCAGAAGGAAATTGAAAATTTCAAGCGACTTCTCCGTGATTCTGAAACAGTTCTCCAGCTGGACCGGAATTCTGATTCTAAACAAGCAAAGCAGCTCAACTGGGATGCTCTATTTAGGTAGTTTCTTTTTTTTTCCTTTGTGAATGGTCGCAATTTTCTTACATGGAACATCATTCTTTTGTTTATTGGGTGTATTTTAATGCTTATGTTTCTGCAGATTGATTTAGACTTCTTGTCAGCTTGTAAACAAGAAGTTACTTATGTTCGTCTCTAAAGGGAGTAAATTTAAAATAGTCAAAAATGCAACAATTGTAACATACAGAAAACTTAACTGCTAGGAAGCTGATCATTAATTGAGTGCTCATTTTTACTTGCAAAAATAATAGTTACTTTCTTTTATTGAAAATTATCCTCTGCACCTGATTTTCAACATATAGTTCATATGTAGATTATAGATAGCTCATTAGAATTTTTTGTGTTACTGAGTTCTTCAGGACACAATAGAAGGACTGTGGCTTGTGAATTAAAAAAGCTGTGCTGAGGTTTGTAGAGGCCCATCTTTGATATAATCTCCTCTAGGTGTACTACAAGATTGGACTGAGCATGAGCGTGATAAGTTCTTAGAGCAGCTGGGACCAGTGTAAAATTACATGTTAAAAGCGCATCTGAAGTATTAGTTTTCATAGGCTGGTGTCTGGTCAGCTTTCCATTATGTTTTTTAATTGGACAGCATTGGAATAGTTCTTGTTTTGTGGCTGCCCCAAAAATATCGTAAGAAGTATTTGATAAATTTTTATGTTGCTTTTGAGATGGCCAATTATATATTGGAAATAGATAGGAGGAATACAAAAATAGGGACTCTAAACTGAATACAAATAGTAGGCCAGAAAATGTCCAGTAATTGCCAGCAATGAAGCCAGTGAAAAATTTAATCTATTGTTAGATCTAAAATCTAATCTATATGTTAATTTTAAATGATGGAGAAATAGAACTTGAAGGTTTTCGCCAATAAAAATAATAAAGAGTACTTATTATTTTGTTGTATAATGTTGCAGTATAAATAAAAAGACAGCATTGCTTTTTTTCCTAATTAGAAATTGTATGTTTAGCAGTATGCAAAGTTTAAAGGAAAGTTTGGTTCCTATTCAAGTTGCTTCTGGATTATCTTTAAAACTAATAGCTCCTTTTATAGACTATTTCCATCATGCTTAGATTGTAATCTGTTTCAGTTGGTTTTAGTCTTTGATAATTACAACTGCAAGAAGAACAAGCTCTGACATTCTAGGCTAAAACGACATTTACGTATTTTACTTTAGTCATAAATGTGCAGATCCTTGATCAATATCTTTTATTTTTGAAGTGTCCTGCAGAAATCTTTCCAGAAAGAAATGAAAACCCTCCAGCTGACAAAACCAAATGCATCTGCTTCAACTCAAACTACCAGACAAAAAAAGATGCAAGAAATTGGAAGTTTGGTCAAGTATTTCATCAGATGTGCTAATAAAAGTTAGTAATATGTATTCATGTAGTAATTACTGTTTTGTTTTGATACTTTGCTTTCATCTTTGAATTTTTACTCTGAAGTAAGTTACCAGGGTGGGGATCATCTTGCTCGCTTCCAGGTGTTTACAATTTAAATATCTTCACGTGAATCAGTCCTTTGTGCTCCTTCTCTGTCCTTGTTGATGCTCACAGTGCCTTTTTCTTATTATTCAATGTGTCTATAACTGATGTCTCCTCTCGTAAGTAATTTCTTTCTTAGAAACAGTTTAAGAGATGATTCGTAACAGAACTGTTTCTGAACTGTGGGGTGGGTGTTTTTATTTTTAAGTAAACATTTACAAATAATTAATTCCAGATTTATTTGGCACACTTTGGATTAATTACAGTCTCACATTATTTCTTCATGTAGGAGGACCCAGACTGAAATGTCAGGAACTTCTGATTTATGTCATGGAAATTATAAGAGATCCAACAAGTTGTGCTGCTTATGGATCTGACTGTAGTGGTATACTCCTAAAAGATATCCTCTCAGTAAGGAAATACTGGTGTGAGATATCCCAGCAGCAGTGGTCAGGTAAAATTTTTAAGCCTACTTACAAATGTC